TTCCTCAAGGACTCGCTGACAGGCACAGTGCTCGATGCCTCGAGCTGGCAGAAGCGCGGCTGGTGTCGTTTGGAGCGGACGATGCGAGAGCTTTCCGAGGGCTCATGGATAATGGTGCAAAGTGCATTGCACATGGAAGTCGCAGGTGCGAGAGCAGTCTTCACCCACCCCACAGGTGAAGGCGCTTTTGCCGTGGCGGATGACAAGGCTAAGCTTGGTCCGGTGCTAGCAGCTGCCCTCAAGCGCAAGATGCTGAACGCATTGAGAGGCGGCGACTTTGTGACTTACCGCATTGTGCGCAACCTCCAAAGCGTGCATTTGAGAGGTCTTGGTGTTGAGCCACAGCTCAACCTCATTCCAGGCTTTGTGGCTAACAAAGTTGGCAACACAGATGACTCGACTGCAGTTGTGGCAGAATTTTTCCATCAGAATGGATTCTCAAGAATCAATGAAATCGACCGTGCTGGATTTAGGCCTTTGCACTATGCTGCTCTGAGTGGAGATGCAAAGTTGACCACTGCTCTTTTGGAGCTGCGCGCAGATCCCACCAAGAGCACCCGGAAGGGGCAACCCCTGATCGGCACACCATCTTGGACGTCGGCGCTGGGATTATGCATGCTTTGTGGGCACAACCAGGTTGCAGAGCTGCTGATTGCCTCCAAGGCCAAAGTCCATGAACAGGGTGTTCTACCGGCCTTGACTGCTGCGACTCTAAGCAACAACGCTGAAGGTGTCCAGCTCCTGTGCACCGCGAAGTGCGACCCTGGAGCGGTGAACCTCTTCGGGTATTCCGCGCTGGAGGCTGCGGCTTGGGCCAATTCACTGGCGGCGATGGAAGAGCTTCTGAGTCAAGCCAGTGAGGGCAAGCTTTCTAAGGTCCTTCATGCAGCAGCGCTCTCAAAGCAAGGAGGTGCTCAGGCAGTTCGGAGACTCCTTGAGATGAAGGCCAATGCTGATGAGCAGTACCAGGTGCCTTGGCTCACGCCCAATGGTGCCCTCTTCGCTTTGGACTCTTTTCGGTACAGACTTGGTAGAATAACCCCTGCAACAAGAATCTCTTATCATCATCCTAATGCAACGCCCTTGATGTTGGCAATCCTTCAAGCGAACTACGAAACTGCTGAGATCCTGGTCACTGAAGGGGCCAGGCTAGATCTGCGCAATGCGCAGGGGTTTTCAGCCGCAGACTTGGCATGGGAGGTTGGCGTGCCAGAGAGTTTGAAGGAGGTCTTGAATGGCGATGTGACATACTGTAGAATGTGACCGTGATGCCTGTGGAAAAGACTCAACGCATCTCAAAGTTGTTGATGTTTATTGTTCGATTGTTTACCGCAGAACCTAACGAAGCCAAATTTGCAAGGGTGTTGAGGACAAACAGGTCTGTAAATGTGATGTATGTTTTTGTTTCCTTTGGTTAGGATTTTCTGGGGGTGTTCGTCACCATAAACACGTCTCCAAAAACAGGACCCAAGAAGGCTAGCGGCTAGCGCTTCCGAGAGGGCGACGGAGATGAGGGCGTGCCTTGCGCAGTCCGTTTCGGCGCTCCGTTGTTGTTTATTTTTTTTCAGAAGCCGACCTTCGGACGTCGGTCTTCGGCCGTCTTGATCGTGTTTTCGCTGCTGCAGATCCGCTGTACAGACAGCTGCTGCAGCGTCGCAACCCCGTCGCAACCCAGCCGTGGCCGGGTGGCCGGGGGAAGGAAGCTGCCAAGAATCGGAAGATGCAGGGCTTCAGCCACCAGCAAATGGGGATGAAACTACAGAGACCTCTCCCAGACCAGCCACGACCAGCCATGACCCTTGTGCTTTGAGGGTCTCCCGGATTGAACATACACATACATAGTGACCCCCCCATATAGATAGAAGTTCGTTTTCTTCCCCACGAAACATATGAGAAACAAAGGAAAAGGCACGGAAAGGCACGTGCTTTCGGGGTCCTCTCCTCGACCAGATCGGAGCCCTTCCGCTGGTGACGTGGAGACCGGCGACCGGACCCCCAGAGTGAAGCGACCGGTCCGGACCGTGGGGTTTGATGTCTGGGCCAATGCCTTGGAGTTGGGGAGACCCTTCCTGTGCATGCGAGAGGCCTGGAGTTCTGGTCGAAAACGAAGGGGTCTGAGACCGCTTTTTTTGTACAAAGCTCGAGTGAGAATTGACCCTTCTGGCTCTGCTTCGCCAACCTCTCTTCCGAAGAGGTGTTTGCAGAGTCAAACAACAAACATGCTAGTCAACTTGTCGACCTGCATGATACAATTGGCCCAAGCCAGGGATCGTTGCTAGCTAGTAAGCTGGCCACGCACCATGCCGATGTGCAGATCTCGCAGAGAGACACCGCTGGCACGCCATGCAGGCCGCCTGCAGGCAGAGCCAGAGGCAGAATTGATGCCCACGATGCTTTTCCCCATGTACACAGTGCCCTTGGAAGATGCATTGCAAATGAGCTGCGTCCAGCCACACGAAGAGTTGAAATCCCAGGGCATTCTGGTGGAATTCGAGAAAACCATGGGAAAGGCGCTGTTTGTTTCGCACCAATGGGCCGCAAAGGATCATCCCGATCCCACGTTTGAAGGGTTCTCTGTGCTTCAGCGGGCCATGAAACGCATTTTGTCCGATCTTCCCCTGATACCACCTGACTGTGTCACGGAACTACTCGTTCCCAAAGCGCGTCCTGTGGACACTCAAGAGCTCCGAGCAGTGAAACTGTTCCTTTGGTACGACTACTTTTCTTGCCCGCAGAAAAGTCAGCCTGAGAGTCAGGGGCAGGTTAGCAAGCAGGCGCAAGCTATTGCGAGCATTCATGCTTACGTGGCTGAGTGTTCGTTCTTTTTCGCACTGTGCCCTTTCATGCATGATCTGGTCACGAACGAGGTGCTTGATGCTTCAAGTTGGCGAAATCGGGGCTGGTGTCGTTTGGAGAGAGCGATGCGCGAGCTTTCCGAGGGCCCATGGATAATGGTGCAAAGTGCTATGCATATAGAGGTCATGGTTGCAACGGATGCCTTCAACCGGCCCACAGGCGAAGGCGCTTTTGCCGTGGCGGATGACAAGGCCAAGCTCGGCCCAGTGCTAGCAGCTGCCCTCAAGCGCAAGATGCTGAACGCATTGAGAGGTGGTGACCTTGTGACTTACCGCATTGTGCGCAACCTCCAAAGTGTGCATTTGAGAGGTCTTGACATTGAGCCCGAGGTCAACCTGATTCCAGGCTTTGTGGCTGACAAAGTTTGCAACACAGACGACTCGGCTGTGGTTGTGGCTGAATTTTTCCATCAGAATGGCTTCTCAAGAATCAATGAACTAGACCATGCTGGATTTCGGCCTTTGCACTATGCTGCTCTGAGTGGAGATGCAAAATTGATCAAAGCCCTTCTGGAGCAGCGGGCAGACCTTAGCAAGACCACCCGGAAGGGGCAACCCTTGATCGGGGTGCCACCCTGGCTTTCTGCGCTTGGATTGTCTGTGCTCTGTGGGCACAACCGTGTTGCACAGTTACTGATTGAAGCCAAGGCCAGAGTGCAAGAAGGGGGCATTGGGCCAGCCTTGCACATGGCTGCCAACAGCAACAACCACGAAGGTGTCCGCCTGCTTTGTGGATCTGGGTGTGACCCCACCGAGGAGAACATCTTTGGGTATTCAGCCCTTCAGGCTGCGTCAGCTGCCAACTCGCTGTTCGCCGTGGATGAACTTCTGAGTCGAACCGGTGCCAGTGACCTTTCAGAGGTCCTCCACGGAGCTGCCCTGTCGAAGCACGGCGGCGCTCAGGTGGCTCGGAGGCTCCTTGAGAGGAAGGCCGATGTGGATGAGCAGTACCAGGCTCCGTGGTTGACACTGCAAGGAGTAGTTTGTGCTTTATACTCTCTCCGTTACAGACTTGGCAGAATAACACCGGCAACAAGACTCTCTTATCATTGGCCTGGTGCAACGCCCTTGATGTTGGCCATCCTTCAAGCGAACTACGAAACTGCCTGGATCCTGGTCACTGAAGGGGCCAGCCTAGATCTGCGCAATGCGCAGGGATTTTCGGCCGCAGACTTAGCGCTGGAGGTTGGCGTGCCAGAAACTTTGCAGGAGGTTTTGAAGGGCGATGTGACATACTGTCGAATCTGACGGTGATGCCGCGATGCCTGACGAGATGTGGAAAAGCCTCAAAGCTATGATGTTCTTTTCTGTTAAATTTCATAGAACCGAACCTAACGAAGCCAAATCCCAAGGTCGTTGAGGCCAAACATTTTCTGTACTACAGTAAATGTGATGTACCGGAGCCTTGTGAAAGCTCGCATGCCCTGTTTTCTTCGGTTAGGATCCTATCCTTGGGGGTTTGGTCATTGTCTCCCAAGCGACCACGGCGTTCAGTACTTCGAGTCGACTTCTCCAGCGAGCTCGAGCAGAAGATCCGTCCATACGGCTAGCGCTTCTGTTTTCGAGAGAGCGAGGGAGATCGATCAGGGACTGCCCAAGGCCAAACAAACCCGGAGATGAGCGCTGGTGCATGCCAGAGGTGCGATGGAAGGAAGGTTTGGGCAGGGAGGTTTTGTGCTTCCCAGATTCTTTTGTGAACAAGTTATATATTTCGATGAGGTGCTGATGTTGTAAGAACAATCTGCAAGATTTGATGAGAGGCGAACCGCCAACACTTGGTGTCCAGTGTTTCCATTGCTACAACATTATCAGGTTTCCCCCGTCCACTCGTGGTTGGATTGTTCTCGAAGCAAGTTTGCCTTTGAGATGGTTTCGCCACAGCAACTCAAAATCGTGTGACAGTTAGGCAATTAGTATGCAGACATGCTTGTCACCCAGCAATCCAGGTGCCCTGTTTGGTTCGACTTGGACGAGCACTGATGACATTCACTGAGGTTCGCCGCAAGTTGTAGAGTGGTTAGTGCTGCGAGTGATGAACAAATCCTGCATCACCGGGACAATAGACATATTTTGTTGGATCATGCGATTGTTTGCAAGTGTGTTTTGCGGCTCCAGCCCTTGCTTCTACAGCCTTGGTTCCAAGCCATGGCAAATCTTGCTGCCGGCGCAGTAGCATCTTCTCAGGACCCTTGTGGGGCCAACGTTTCATCCACTGCTTCAGGCGACAGCTTGGACGAGTGGGAAGAAGTTGAAACAAGTCCGGGTCCAGATGTATCAGAAGCCTCCCTGAAGATTTTGAACAACTGTCTCACGGATGTGCAGAAGTTTGTCTGTAAAGTGCAGGAGAAATGCCACAGCGGTGAAGTGGTCACTATGGTGAAGGCTTGTGAACAACTACAGCAGCTCCACAAGCTCTGTAACTGGCAAGACAGGCTCATCGTGGCAGGCAACAGCAATGTGGGCAAGAGCACCATTGGAAACGCCCTGCTTGGCGGTGGCAAGTTTTGGCCAACATCATCCTCATGCATGACGGCTCGGATTTGTGAAGCACACTACGATGCTTCTGCCCCCGGCACCGCAGTTTCGAAGGACGTGGTCTACAAGAGTGCAACTTCACAGCCAAAAGAGTTCGAAGAATTCCTGGAGCAACCTTTGCAGGTTCCAAATCCAAGCTCCTTGCTGAAGCCGGGTGTCATTCTGGTCGACTTGCCAGGCTTGGATCAGGAAGTGAAATACATGGCGAGATTGGAGGAGTACATGATGTCTCATGAGCCTACTTCGGTAGCGCTCGTTTATGTGATCGATGTGAACAAAAAGATTTCCAACGAGGATCGTGAGTTTTTTGAGATGCTCATGAGCTCCCCCTGGACGGAATTGTCCCAGAAGCTTCTGCTTGTGGTGAACAAGTGTGACATAGAAGTCGCGCGGAACCCTTTGGACAGCGAAGAAGAGAGTCCAAACTATGATGATTTGATTTCAGACATCAAGACAGATGCCAGCAATTACTGCACTCCAAAAGTCATGGACGTGTCCATGTCGGATCGTGTGACAAAGCAGTCCACGCAAAAGCAGAGTCAAAGTGGCAGTCGGTGCAGGCGGAAGTTCGCAGGGCTCTGACACGACTCAAAGCCGATCGCTTGATCAACACCCTTTATTCACTGGATAGACTGCTGGCTTTGCTTCATCACAAGAGTAGCTTGCAAGAGGCCGAGGACAACTTGTCCAAGTGGCGGGCTGGTGAGGAAGTGTGGCTGCAAAAGCGAGCGGCAGAGATCCAGGATGTATTTAGCCAGAGGAAGGAGGAGCATTTGGAAGCAGTTCTGCGGATTGACCTGCCACACTTCAATGAAGAAGTTGGTGGAAACGAGCTGAAGGAAGTCAACATGGCCATTGAAAGTCATATCAAAACGATGTTGGCCAATGACATCCAGCTTTCGGCAGCATCTTCTGAGGCTCTTGACGAAATGACCCTGACAGATTCCAAAAGGTGGAGTATCGCCAGATGCATGCTGGCTGCAGGATGTGGCGCTTTGAGCGGATTAGTGTCCAGCTTGGGCTTTGCTGCTGCTCTTTTCAGCCCAGCAAGCATTGCGGCTATTAGTGCAGGAGCCTTTCTAGCTGCTGCCGGTGGTGCTGCTTTGCTCTTTGGCCTCAGTGAGGAGGTCATCGAGGAGGTCAGCAAGGACTACGTGAAGCAATGTTTTGAGGCGATCTATGAGCAGCAGTCAAAAAGGGTTCACACATGGGTCAAACAAGAGTTTGCATGCCTCATCACTCACTACAGCGAGGAGGTGCAGGAAAGGAAGAAACAAGTGGAAGAGTTCCAAGCTTCGGCAGACGACGGTTTAGTTCCAGCCGGCTTTGAAGAGGATGTGAAGGCGCTTATGGCCGATTTCTTTGCGCTCAAGGAGCAGGCGCTTGCTTTGGCAAAGAAAGCCAGCGTTGAGTGAGCCACGCGCCCACGAGTAGTGTCTTCTTAGGATTTGCTGGGCCAGGGGCCTTTGAGTGACAGTCTCCCTTGCTGTGGCAAAGCCATGCGAAGCCATGGCAGTCACGTGTAGCTGTCAATGCCCTTCCTCACAGATCTGTCCGTTGCTGCATGGAGACTCATGAGTCATGAGCGGTGATACTTTCACGCAATCATGGAAAAGGAGTGGATGATCTCGGGATTTGCAAGTTTTCATAAAGAGTGCATGATAGAATGCGTTGGCTTGACCAGCTCATTACCAAATGTGTTGATTTGGAGCGGGTGGGAAGGTGGACCGCGCCAGGTTGCGCTTTGGCTAGTTCGGCTAGTTCACTGACCGCAAGGACCGCCTTGGGAAAGCAAGAAAGGCCGATATTTCACTGATTTGGAAACACTGGAGCAGTTGATTAAACAGCCTTTCATTCTACAGTAGATTTTTCTTGACCAGATCTTTTGCTTTAGCTCCAGATGCTCAAGCTTTTGACGAATAGGTTCCAATTTTGTCGTTTTAGCAGCTCGTCATTACACACTGCCCCCACCGCTGATGTTCAATGTGTGAAGCTACCCTTGACTATATGAAGAGTGTGTGCCCAGTCAGGGCCGAATGTAAGCTGAGGCTGAAAGAAAGCTGTTCAGGTATAGCCTAGCTATATATATATAACTATATAGAATAATGTCTACACATAATCACATGTATATTGTATTTGCCAGATCATTCAATTGTTTTGGACGTGACAGGGCGAGGCATTGAGTTTTCCATGTTGATTCTCAGTACCCAACCACCTAGCCTTCGTGCTTCGCTCTCAGAACATCCGCTGCCTCCAACTGTCCTGCTGAAAGATGAGGCAGGGAGCCAGCTCACTTTCTTTGACTTTTATGGTGCTATCACTTTCTATTAGAGATGCAAGTGGATTTCGCTCGCTTCATCCTGTGAAAAGCAGTCCACTGCACGCAGCTCGCTTTGGTGCCACCGCTGCCCTGCTTTTTGGAGCCATGGCAAGTCTTGCCGGTGGAGGTGGGCCAGAAGCTTCGGGCGACCGCTTGCAAGACTGGGAAGAAGTGAATGAGCTTTTGGAAGCTGTGGCCGATGCCCTCTTGCAGCTGGGAGCTTTTGCCAGCCAGTTGCTGGAGATTTGCAAGAGGGTTGAGGCAGACAGCTTTGTTGAGGCTTGCATGCAGCTGCGGGAAGTGTGCGAAGAATGTGGGCAGCAGGACAGGCTCATCATAGCCGGCAAAGGCAATGTGGGCAAGAGCACCATTGGAAACGCCCTGCTTGGCGGTGGCAAGTTTTGGCCAACATCCTCCTCATGCATGACGGCTCGGATTTGTGAAGCACACTACGATGCTTCTGCCTCCGGCATCGCAGTTTCGAAGGACATGGTCCACAAGAGTGCCACTTCACAGCCAAAAGAGTTTGAAGAATTCCTGGAGCAACCTTTGCAGGTTCCAAATCCAAGCTCCTTGCTGAAGCCGGGCGTCATTCTGGTCGACTTGCCAGGCTTGAATCAGGAGAAGAAGTACATCGACAGACTGAATGAGTACTTGAAGTCTCATCCCTCCTCCTCCGTGGTGCTGGTGTATGTCCTGGATGTGAATGACAAGATTTGCAACTCTGACCACCAGTTTTTTGTGAAACTCATGAGTTCCCCCTGGACGGAATTGTCCCAGAAGCTTCTGCTTGTGGTGAACAAGTGTGACATAGAAGTCGCGCGGAACCCTTTGGACAGCGAAGAAGAGACTCCAAACTAGGATGATTTGATTTCAGACATCAAGACAGATGCCAGCAATTACTGCACTCCAAAAGTCATGGACGTGTCCATGTCGGATCGTGTGAGTAAGGACAAAGCAGTCCTCGCAAAAGGAGAGTCAAAGTGGCAGTCGGTGCAGGCGGAAGTTCGCAGGGCTCTGACACGACTCAAAGCCAGTCGCATGGTCAAGAGCTTCCAATCAGTGGCGACGGTGATGGCATTGTTCAAGTTAGCAAGTATGGAAGGTGAGAGCAGGCAAGTTGAGTTGCGCAAAATGAGGCATGCCTTGAACCGAGCCAAGGCAATCATGGAGCAAGAGCTAGAGCGGAAGGTAGAGCAGAGAACAACGGAGCTGCGCAGAATCTTAGAGAGAAAAAGAGAAGACCATCTTGAGGCAGTTCTCAGGACACACGAGGTACATAAATTTTGTGGAAGCCCTGACTTTAGAGGAGCTGACAGGGCGGTTGCTGAAGCAGTGAGCACAATGCTTTGCAACGATGCGATGGCTAGTGCACGATTTTCCGAAGTGCTTCAAGGGTTATTCACTCTTCTCTGGCGAGAAGTGGGCATTGCTGCCTATCAATTCCGCGCCCCATACATGGCGTGGGGCGTGTTCGCGCCGTACATACCCCTCCCAGCCATGATGTTTTTGGCTTGCGAGTCTATCCTTGTCGGAAGGGTCAACCAGAGAGTTGTAGGTATAGATTATATCAAAGCACGCTTTCATGCAAACTGGGGGCACTGCATTGAAGGGGCGCGAAGTGTTGCTGCCAGTGAGCTTGACTGTATCAAGGACACAGCCAGGAGGCGTGTTGAGAAGCAGGAAAAGCTGCTGCGAGAGGTGCAGCAGTCTGGGGCCATAATGGATACTGACTCGAAGAAAGAATTTGAGGAACTTCATGCACGTTTTGGGCTGCTTGAAGAAACAATGGAACAAAAAAGCCTTTTTTGACTTGTCAGCAGCTTGGGGAGACTGAGTGAAAAAAGCCATTGATAGTTTTTCAAGCTGCTATAGGCACTGTAATATGGAACTTTAAAGGGTTTCCTGCTGAAGGAATGACAGCAAGTGCTCGCTTTGGGCAATAAGCCAGTGAGCCACAAGCGCTCACAGGCTGTGCCTTCTTGATATCTGCTGGGCCAGGGGCCTTGGAGTGACAGTCAATGCCCCTTCTCACAGATCTATCCGTTGCATGGAGACTCATGAGTCATGAGTTTGAGTTGACTGAAACAGGTGGAGTCGAGGAAAAGAGGAAACTGCGAGATCAAAACCCTTGTGCATTGGGCATCATCGTCAACACACTTCACCGGCTCTTTTTGCTGCCAGGCCGAGGCCTTTGATTCCTTCTGAGGACTCCTCACGGCATCGGTGAACAGGCTTGTTGGCTTGAATTTCACCCTACATACTACTTATTTGTGCATTCTCTTTGTTCTTTCCAATGGGGACTTCGGGCTGAGTACCGCATAGGAGCACTCCTTGCAAGCAGGCAGTTTGCCACAGGTTGAGTCGGCCATGTGTGGTGTTTTGTGTTTCCAAGTCCAAGGCTTTACATCGGCGGCTGGTCGCCACACCATGCAAGGTGTGATTGAGTCACCTCCCCGTCTTCAGTTTGTGGATGTATGCTGTCGAATGGTTCCATTTGGGAAAAAAGCTGCAACTTAACACTGGAGCTGATTGCTCGCATAGGCAGCTCTGATTGGAAGAAGCGTCGAGCTTTGGGTTGGAAGAAGCGTCGAGCTTTGGATACAAGGCACCAACATCCACTGACATCCTCGTTAGGATTTCCCTAGGAAATGGTTCAACCTTGCTTTTGTGATATTCTAAGTCCTCTACCCAGTAGATGGGAGGCTGGTATGTTTGTTCGACATGATACTTGGACCCGCTTGGAGAGGATGCTTCCAGGAGTCTCACAGGGACCTTGAGGTCAGTGTAGCCGTGCCTGGAAGAGGGGTGAGAAAACACAAGGTTTGACCGCATGACAGATTCCTATTACTTTTATTCAATCCATAGGAGCTTTAGTTTCCCCCGCAGGTTTATGTCACAAAGAATTCGAGGGTTCGCACGTGCTTCAGAGTTTTTGTTCACGTACTTTGTTGCATTGGTTCATGATTCCTGTGGTGATTCAGAAAAAATCCGGTGCAGTTCATGACTCCCAATACGAAGGTCCGTCAAGGAGTGAAGGTCAAGGCGAAAGGAGTGAAGTTCTGAGAGAACCAGACCTGGAGCCTCCGATCGGAGGTGTTCTTTTTGGCACTTCCATGGTCCTTTTGAGAAGCTGAGGGAGATCAAGGAGCTGACCCCGAGCCAGCCCAAAACCGAGCCAACCACGAAGGCCTTCCAGTGGAAGGTGCGCTGGTGCATGGCAGAGGTGCGATGAAAGGAAGGCCGAGAGCGGGGGGAGAGCGGGTGTGGTCGAGAAGTCTTTTTGAAGAAGTTACTGGATCTGGATGAGGTGTGACGGGCCGACCTCTGGTGGCGATGTTGAACGAATGTAAGGGGCGCCTGCCAAACTGAAGGCAATTGGGAGAAAGGAGCTTGTGGATTAAATGTTTCAATTGGGGATTGGGCCTACCCAAGAGGGTTTGGTACAGGATGATGTGGGTGCGACATATTCTGCCATGTGGGATGTCTGGCCATTCGTTGGCAGGTCAGACCACAGGATCAGACTGGCTGGTGCAGATGACAGAGGAAAAGAAGCTTTGCAAGTCCGGTGGGTGGGACTTGTTGATTCAACAAAGCGCTTGAGAACGGGGGAAGTGGCGGCCGGGAGTCTTGGGGTATGTTATGATTCAATATGATTCAGAGATGGTGGCCTTTCCAACCACCGGTTGTCGTCACCTGTTTTCAGACCCAGTCTTTTTCAGACAAACATTTTGGACAGAGATCTCTAGCCGCTGTTGAACACTTCCTCGAAGAAACGTGGGGATAGTCGAATGGAACTCTTTGTGAGCTTCCTCAACTGGACTGAGTCACTGTGCACCGCGAAAAACAGCTATGGAGAGCAGACATTTGGTGCTTTTGAGCCCTCTCTTTAGACGCAATGAGGGGAGGCTTTGTGGGACTGTGGATGTGTGAAGCATCATCGGGAGGAGCTGTTTTCAGCTGTCACTAGACCTAAATGGACCAGGTTTTTTTGGTAGGGTAGCAGCAGTCCTTGCAATTAGCCTTGCCAGAAGGGCTTCTTCTTGGGTTCTTCTCAAAGTCGATTCAGCAAAGTGCTAGAAACCATAGAGACAAGCGGGTATGGTATATACGGTATATTCCGAAATTTTCAGTCAGTTGCACCGGCTTGCTACTGAGTTTACAATTAACCCATGAAGAATGTATCCATATTATACACGTACTGGCAGGGATCCATTACAAAACCGGTTCCAGCCACGCACTTTCGTGCCATGCACTCATGCAGAGAATCACCATCCGCGCCTTCACCAGTGGACCCGGATGGTGCCATCTGCGAAGGGTGCCATATGCAAACTGCAGAGATTTCGCTTCAAGCGACGCTGGGCTTCAACGGTTTCGATAGTTCAATCAGACTTCAGAAACTTGCAACAACTGTTTCAATCAAGAATCAAGCACTGCAGATTTCAAGTTTTTGAAGTTTGCAGATTTCAGTGGTTCTCTCCGCTGAACGAGTTCTGCGGGTCGAGGAGAATTTTTTATCGTGGGAGAAGAATCCAAGCCATGCACCGCTGATACTGTTGGTTCGAAGATTGGTAGAGGGGAGACCCCCAATTAAATCACCAGATGGGGATAGGTCCAAAACTGCCAAGAATCCGGTCCACCCTGTTTTTGCGCAAACGAACGACCTCTAACGACCTGTAACGAGTCGGTCGGCTCTCCCGGTCGCTCTCCTGGTTTTGACCCCATCGCTGTATTCCCAAAAGGACATCATTCTTCCAGTCCAGTTTGTGCACTCCCTGAAAGAACCATGGTTACGTGGAAGAGTTCGGCCCCTCCAAGACCACTTTTCTACAATAAGCCGTTGGTGTCACCACTTCCATGTTGGAGTCCGTGGGGTCCCGGAAAGCCAAGATCGGCCGACCCCTTTCGTTGGAGTCCGCTGCCCTTGAAGATTGCTCCTACTTCAGAAGTTCAAGAACTGCTTGTCCAGTGCCTGATGGGACTTTTGATATATGGGTTCGGGGTTTTCTCCAAAAGTCAGTGACAGACTGGGGCGACTATCCAGGAAAAGATTCCCATGACCTTCCCACCCAGAAATTTCTTAGTGGCCTCCATGATGAGAGTCTCAAAAAGGGGACTCCCCCCCATCACCGAGTTTGACTTCCAGCTTGGTTGAAGGGCAGTCTTCCTCTCTTCCCCTCTGAATCAAAACTGGCTCCAACCCCCACCCCCAACTCACGCGCCTAACTGTGCGACGCCGGTCTTCTGTGCTCGCTGCGCCCAGTCACGGATACCCTCCGGCGACCTGCAGCAGGGGCACATCTTTCAGCACAAAGGTGGAGAGCTTTTTTGTGTCGCGAAACGACGTGTCTTTTTGGGTCGACTGCTTAGAGACGTGTGTTGTGTTGCCATCTGGCCACATTTGGTTCGACTTCGGGGTCATGGCATGGGTCCCTGGGTCATTCCACCTATTTGGGTGCTTAGGACTGAAGATGAGGTGATCAAAGACTTGGCTTTCACTGGGCTCCCCAGGGGTGTGCTCCACCGCCCCACCGCCCCCCACCCTCGCCTCAAAGCGACGACCGTCGCCGCTCCCCACCGGTGCCAGGTGTCTACTGTGAGGTTGGGGGCGTGGGTTTTCCGCGGCGTTTTTCCATGTTTCCTCGAGACACCTGGTGCAAGGAGGAGATGTAGGGTGCCAAAGAGCACATTCCCGGAGTAGCAGCACTGTTTGGATCGTCTCTTTGGAACACTTGCAGAACAGGGTAGTCCCGGGTCTGTATTTCGACCCCATGACCATGGTGCTAGATGATGGGGACACCCAATCATTCACCCAAGTGAATGCCGCTGGCATTCGGCTCCAAGTTCTGATACCGAACCTTTCATATCCCATCGCGCCACCTGGAATGCTTGGTCAGAATGAGAGACGAGACAGCGAGATGGGCCGAACTTGGAGGATCGTCATCATCGTTTCAGCTATTGGTTGTTGTTTGCTGATGGCTGGCCTTGCCTTTGGATTCAGTGCATTGATGCCAAACTTGCTGAGAATAGGCGCCTTCCACCAGGTCTGTCCAGAGAACCATGCTGGCACCTCCTGCCAGGCGCAAATCTCACGCCTGACGGGCATGTTTACGTTGACGTCCTCGTTGTTGAACATTCTCACTTTACCATCTGGAGCGATGCTGGACTACCTGGGTCCACGTGTGACGGCCGGATCTTTTTGTTGTTTCGTCGCCCTGGGGTGTTGGCTCTTCTCGCTGGGTTCAGATGTGAACTACTACGTTGGATTCATCCTCTTAGGAGACGGGGCCGATCTCGTGCGCTTGGCACAAGCCCAAGCTGGGAAATGGCCAGGGGATGAACTTTTCGTTTCAGGTTTGGATGGAGAGGGTCGGTAGCAAGTATATATGTATATCATATAGCTATATACCCAGTTCTTGATGTTGTCCTTGCATTCCGCCTCCTCTTCCTCTTCCGCTATTGAAGATTTGGGGCGTCCAGAGTCCAAACAGCAAGTCCAATATGCATCCCAGCCGGTGACATGCAGGTTGAAGTAGTGGTTGCTTTCAAAGCAGATGATCACACCAGAAACTTTGGAACCCAAAGTGAGCCTCTGAATGAACAAGCAACCCCCTCCAAGCTTCTAGTTAAAGCTTGGAAAAGCTGCATACAGAATCACAAAGCTCGTTGTACTTGCCATGACAAAAGAAAAGCAAGCTGACTCCGGACAAAATCTCCCCAAACCTCTACAGATCCCAGATCCGGTGTCATCCCAGAGGAGTGAGTGGCCCCTACATCTTCAACTGTACCCTAAGCTTCGGGAACTACTTCCCCGCACGCTCCGGGCTCATCACCGCCATCCTGGTCGGCTGCTTCGACGCGTCCTCGGGCGACTTTGCCGTTCTGAACTCCTTGATCGACGCAGGACCGGGCGTTTGGGACCGAGGTTCGATGGCACAACGATTTCGGAGGTTCTTTGGTTTGTGTGTTTGTTTGTCCACCTTTTTGTGTTGTTCTTTTTGGAGGGGGTGCAGAGCTGTGTTTTTTTTCGTCCTCGGATGGAGTGGTTGGAGTGGATGGAACGAATACAACCTCAGAGATGGGCCGATTGGCTCGGGTTTCCAGGTGTCACTGATCGTTCGGAGCTTTGTAGAAGAAGTGAGGATTGGAAGTTTGCTTCAGAAGAGTGGAAGATCCATAGTTTTCCCATGTTTTCCAGATGCCGCCACATGACCAGTCACCTGATCCCATTTGGGTGGTGCACCCCTTCCCAGCTTTGGGCAGGCTTTCGTCTCTCACGCCACCAAACTCGCTGCCTGAGCCGCGCATCGTGACAGTCCGGACCCCGCGAGGCCTGGCCTTCTCGACGGCCTTTCGCCTGCTGGCGCTGCTGGCGCTGCTGTGCGCCGCGAGCACCTGCGCCTGGCCGGACCGGAAGGTGGACGAGGACGCCTCGCCAGAGGCGGAGCCCTCGGTGAAGGAGCGTGCGTGGTACGGGACACGCCGGTGTCGCCAAAGGGGGGCGGTGCAGCCGAAGGCGGGTCTGCAGCGTTGAGTCCAAGGGAGAAGGGGGGTCCAGAGTCTAAGGGTTGCCACGCCCGTGAAGTCCCCAAGCAAAAGGATCTGAAGGGTCCTTGAGTCCCTGGCCCTGTTGACCTGAATAAGATGCCGTGTTTCTTTTTTTTTTTGGATGAAAGGATCACCTTTGTTGCGTGATTCTTGTTTGGAAGTGCTTGAGAGTGCATAGTTTTGAAGCACAGAAGCACATCGAGGAGCCTTTGATGAAGCAGAGCTTGTGGAACGTCTGGAGCAGCACGGAGTTCTGGTTACTGACCTATGCGGTTCCTGAAGCTTGAAATTGGGAGCTTTTATTAAGAGATCGTCTACGATTGAATTACGGTCTCTGGTCACCTGCCTGATGGCACATGGATATCCTTGCTTCTCTTGGGTTGGCAGTACGTGTGGTTCCACATGCGGTACACTTTTGTGTGGTAGTTAGCTTTCAAGACTCGGCAGTTCAGCTTCAAAAGGGGACATAGAAAAACCATGGAGCATCATGGAAACTCCGACAAGTTGCTGCCAACAAGACATCATGGACTGGGAACATCACCAACAGAGGTTCAAGGACCCGACTGTTCGACTATCCCATAGGTAGCCCAGTCAGGTCCTATAAGTTCACTTAACATCTCCACTTGCATGGACTCGGAACATCGTCCCTATGACTTTCGGCCAAGGCCTCGGTGTCGATGACCTCCATCAACTTCTTCATCGCCACGGCCTACCCGCAGATGCTCTCGGTGGTGCCTTCGGAGTCGCACGCCGAAAGCCTGAACCGCGAGTTCTCCCGGTTGCTGCCCCTCGGAGGCATCTTGTTTGCGCCCCTCATTGGCACGGTGATTGACAAGGTGGGGGAACCCCTGGGCTATTTGATCTTGCAGTGTGCCTATGCAGCCTTTACTCTCCTCCTGGTGGCCTTCTTTGCCATTGGCACTGGGACCACCGGAGATGCTTTGGCGCGCGCGGGCTTCGTGTGCTTTGCCTTTTGTCGGCCGCTCTTGTACACTTTGAACCCCATGATCTGCGGGCGGCTTTTTGGGCAGGAGGTCTTCGGGAGGGTCTTTGGGCTGATGAACACCATCGCAGGATTCTGCAACTTAATGGTGCAACCACTGGCGGCTCTGGCACACCAGCATGGCTTTCAGGGCATCAACGTCATACTGGGCGTCTTGCAGTTGTCCACAGCTGTACTTCCGATCTGGATTTTGTGTAGGTCGAAGCCAAAATTATCAAATGCCCTTGGCTATGGAATTGCTTGAGTTTCAACAAACTACCCTCCCTCCAACAAGCATGGAAGTGCAAACACTATCCATTCGAGGAAGCTGGTCTTCCAAGAATCATACTCTCCCACCTCCAGGATTGTGGGATAGAGGGCAGTAGCCGCTGCAAAGGGATTATCACGGTGAAGCAAAAGGGCCGGTGGGCGTTGGAGCTCAGTCTGCTCAGTCTGGAAAATTTTGTTCGGTATTCAGCCGCATCCTCTCGTTGGTGTAGCAAAAACTCTACGGTCTCAGAGGATGACCAGGTCTTGGACAGCACTTCTCCATCCGTGATTCGGTAATCAAAAGGGATGTGCAGGGGGTTTTCCTTCCACCCAAAGCTTCTACTGGCCAGAGTGACCATGAGCTTCTTCAGCTGAACCTGCCGGCTGACCTGGAGTTCGTTGTAGATCCTTGTATATAGCTTTCCTGTTCACCCATAGTGTTCACCTTGCTGGGTTTCATTCTGAGGTTGGAGTTACCTCCGTCAGGTGTCGGACCGGAGTGGCTTCCCTGGGAATTTTCGACGATCAGGTCCGGAGCTCTCAGCTGACCGGCCGGGGACGCGTGAGCGATGCCATGTACCAGGCGAGAGGTGAACGGGACCGGTGGCACTGGTGTTTTTACGGGTTGAGAATAACTGCTGGTGGACTGAGAGAAGAGGTGGTTGGATGGGCTTGTTGACTGGGAGGTTTTTTTGCAGTTTGGCCAATGTTTTCGAAGTGAGTTCTTCTGACTGGGTGGATGACCAGGTGCCGGTGTGACCGTCGGGTCTCGGGGCTCGAGGGAGTGAAGCGGCGGAGGTTGGGAGGACCATCACCACACAGCCCGACGCGAGCGAATCAATGACCTCCTTTTGGGGGCATGGACCACTCAGGGTACTGGTATAGTTGAACACCTTGGGTTTGTCCTATTACCTTTAATTACATGATATGTAACAGTCGGCCAACAAGAACATCACTATGTTAGAGATGGATGTCGGCCTACAAGCAGGCCACATCTGCCTCCACCGGGTCCTGGATTGACATGGATGCACCCCATGAAAAGCGTTTTGGCTGCCTGGGTCAATCAGTACATGCGCTCGCCTTGATCCTGCCAGACATGGCGTAGTTTAACGTGCGCAATGCCACAGGTCCGCTTGGCCTTGACAGCCATGGTTTCGGGGAAGTTCAGAACATGGCAGCTGTAGGCCGTAGGCGGTCTTCGGGTCCTTCTCCAAACCCTTTTTGGTTCAAGAGGGTACCAAAGCCAGTGACAAACAGGAAGAAACTTCTGAACACCTGTGGGTTTGTGGGTTTTAGCCGCTTAGCCTCCTTAGCCTTAGAACGAACCATGCGTGCCCTCTTTTCACCTACCGTGTGGGTTTCACCCGACACCAAAGCCCGACCCTGTCCGCCAGCCGAGTCGCTTCGCTTCCCCGCCAGGTGCGCTTCCGCGAGCTGCCGACCCGGAAGGCGCGCGAGATGAAGTTGAAGGAGGTGGGGAGCCACCGGGCCGAAGCAGCGGGGCAAGACCAGCGATGGGGCAAGACCAGCCACGCGGCTGACATCATTTTCACCTACAGTAGGTCTTCAGTGGTGTATTTGGCTTCAAACCTTTGCAGGAGAACGATTTGTGCAAGAAACACCGTTTTGCAGCTGAATTCTTCTGGATTCCCTTCCAATTCCGGATCTGCGCCCGAGCTCGATGCTTCGCTTCGCTGCTTCGCTTGTTCAAGATCCCTCGACCCTCGACCCCACCCGCAGGACCCGACCGACGCCTTGAAATGGGTGATGCAATCCCCTAGAAGTCGAACCACCATTGTTTTAATAGCCTTTGCTGAACAACCATTGTTTCACTAAGGGTTTTACACTACAAAACCAGATCAACCATTTTTAAAATGGTCTTTGACTTCTAGGGATCAGTTGATTTAATATGAACTATCCATAACCTGGACCTTCTTTCGGGGTGTCCTGGCTTGTTCGGTGCCTGATCGTAGTGGGGGGCGAAACCAGCCAGCTGACCCTGACTCCATGAAGGTCGGAAGATCCATAACTCACTCCCATACACTCCATGTATGCCGTATATGCCTACATTGGGGTGGTTGACTGGGGGTCAATTGATCGGCATATGTTAGTCCCATGGGTCGTGTCTGGGATTTGTGTCCAAGTCTTTCAAATGAGAAACGTCTTCGCCCGCAGAGCGGTCGATTCGCGGTCGATTCAACGGCCTGATCTTCGCAGAATGAGCATTTGACGGTGATCGACTGCGACCGAGTGAGCATGCCGGTGCTGTACAAGGCGTCGGGCGTCGGGAGAAAGAGGTGAGTGTATTCAAAAGGTGAGTGTAGACCATCCCAAAGACCTTTTGGTCTCCAATCCCAGTTGGACCCCCTGGAAGAAGGATCAAAACAGAACTCCCCTTGGTTGAGGATCTCCCTATTAAAAATACACACCCATGTGTTTCATCTTACATAGGTGGGTGGTGTCAGTGAGATGTGTCAGTCATGCCACGCTTGGGAGTCGAACATCGGCGACCATCAGTGTGTGGTATTGTTCAGATCAAAGGAAGATTCGGAAGATGCATGCCATCCCAATCGATCCCTGCCATCCCATCGCTGCCATCCCAACGGATCCCTTTCCGAAAAGATCCAGAAACACACCGGACCAAACAAGCCTGACACACAGACACGTCCATGTGCCTGGTTCCGAACCAAGTGATCGAACTGGATCCCTAGGGATTGAGGGTCACTGTCACAGACCTGTAAAAGGTCATTTGGGGACGCTGGTGTGCTTTCCTCGTGAATCATGTTAATCGAGGCTCGAGACACGTGGTTCGGACAGAGGGGACAAGAAGGGAGGAGGGAATCAGCTTCATCTCCCGCTCCGGTCGATTCTGCAGGCCGTGGCCTGACCTGGGTTGGGAGAGTTGCTGGTTGGTTTGCAGCTACCCCTCATGCCCTTTGATTGTGAAGATCTGGTTCCGGGGTATGTGTAACTTTCAATGGTTCCGAAAGATGCAGGACATGGGTGAATCAACTCAAATTACCTGCTTGGATTTGTTAAAATCCCAGCCATCTCCACCCTTTCCATCTCATCCTCCAGGATTCAGAGCGACTGGTCCTGGCCGATGCGGAGTACAACGAGGCGCAGCGCCGCGCGGCGCTTCGGCCCGAAACGAAGTGCTGGACCATTGGACGAACCCTGGCCGATTTGAGGAACCCTGGCGGCCCTGGCCACATGGGGTCGTCGAAGTGCCAGAGGTTTTGGTCGTTGTGATCTTTTAGGAAAGAACCCCATGTATTATGCCCGAGCTTTTGTAGCTGGTTTTTCTACGTTTTTGGAAAACCTCGCCCTCCCACGGCGCGCGCTGTGGGTCTGCGAGGTGGGGGTGACGTCCCAGCAGCTGGGGGATGCCTTTCATCTCTTGGAGCGCCTTGGACTGCGCGAGTGGGGGGACCGGTGGCTGAGGGCCATGGTGTTTCTCGCCAGAGGAGCTTCAGCAGTGCCGGGCGCTTCTGAATTTCAACAGGACGCATCATTCCAAGTGGTATCTTGATCATATTTGTGTTGTTTTGATGGGCAAACACTCACTTATTGTGACTGGCTGCCGTTTCTTGGGTCGCTTCTTTGACTTGCACTTCTCGCCCGTTGGGACCTCGTCCCCTTACCGCGGGAAGCCGCCTCGCGGCTGCCGAGGTCGGGAGACACGGTGTCGGTCCTCTACAACGAAGGAGAGCTCGTGAAGGCTGGGAGCCTCCTCCCCGCTCTCTCTCTCTCTCTCTGTGCCGCTCAAACAGGTGCCCCCTGCTTGGGGTAGCTTGGCTTAGCTTAATTACTCCAATAAGCTTGGCTGGATGGGTGAAAGTGGGACTCCTTCCTGAAGCCAAACAGGTCGCGTCTCCTCTCCTGCCGGGTCGCCGCGCACAGGTGGTGGTCCCCACAAAGGTGGCCGATGAGGTGCGCTTGGCGTACAGGACAGGGCGGTTTGTGTAGGTGGACCAGCAAAACCCAGTGAGAAACAAGGCTGATATGGAGCAAATGCACAGTCAATGGAAGGATGGGAGCCCTTCGGGCTAGACTCGGCTAGACCTTTTCATATTCCTCTGGAAGCTCTCCATCCTTCACCATGTATCAAATCTAGCCAGAAAAATGGGGATGTGGATCACAGTGGCCATGAACAATCAGCGAGGGGCGCTGGATTGCCTTCTCAAAGGTCACTTGAAGTGTTTCAACTCTGAGGAACATGTCCAGCTGCTCAAACTGAGTCTTTTAGCCCCCAACGTCCAACTGGTTCCTGTCTTTTTCTGTTTATTCTCGAAGGCATCCACAGGCCCCCATGGGTTCCGAACGGCGTGTTCTTCCAGGACTCAACGGCGAGAAGAGCTGGCGCGGAGACAGCGGGAGCGAGGCGCGGAGGGATAAACGTCGGATCAGCGACTGAGGGTCCGGATCAGCGACCAGGATCAGCGACTGCTGGGTCAGCGACCACTTTTCCCGGATCAGCGACCAATTTTCCCGGATCAGCGACCAATTTTCTCAGATCAGCGACCAACTTTCCCGGATCAGCGACCAACACCCCCCTCCGGATCAGCGACTAGGAACTATAGCATCACTAGTGACCGATCCTGGCGATCGATCCGGGGTGATTGGTTTGGTTTGTTTTCAGAGGAGGAAGAAGAGGAGGGAGAGGAAGAAGAGGAGGGAGAGGAAGAAGAGGAGGGAGAGGAAGAAGAAGAGGGGGAAGAAGAAGAGGGGGAGGGAGAGGAAGAAGAAGAGGGAGAAGAAGGCGAAGAGGAGGAAGAAGAGGCGACCGATTCTGACGACCGATCCTGTGGGGTTGGTTTGGTTTCTTTTCCGTTGCCTTCCCTAGACCTCTCTGGTGACCGACCCTGGCGACCGATTGCCTGAACGACCAGAAAAAATCGCTGTTTTGATAAATAGCTAGTTGTTAGGGCTCTGTTTCCAATGCCTCTCTGTTTTCGGCGCTGTCGTAGCAAAGCGGGATCAAACTTTGCAAAC